ATCTGAGAAAAGGCCCTGGAAGGCAAAGGAGACTGTTGATCACAAGGGCCACTGGGGAAGTCATATCAGAAACTTACATTTATTTATGAGTCTGTAGGCATGTGAGTATGTAGGGCATATGCTTTCATGAGGGATATTGTATCTGTTTAAGGCCCTCACAGACCACTTGGCCAAACAAAATGGATGTCGAGGCAGCAATGCCATGGAGTAGCTTAGCTAAGCTCTAGACACATGCAGAACTGGAAATGAGCCCCTAATACATTTTCAGTGTATTTATTTCAAGTGATCCTGAACACCTGTGCTTCTAGAACCATTTTAAGGGAATAGGCCAGAAAATAATTACTTACTCGAAGTTTACATATGCTATTAAATTTATAAGCCAAATTATGGTAATGAAGGGAAGAGAACTTATTATGAAATGCAAAATTTGACTTTTTTGTATCAAATATGCCCTAAATCACTGAACTATATTGAAGCTTCATTATAAAAGATTCCTACTTACCAGAACACTAAGATAATTAATTAATTCTTCTCCCAAAAAACCTAGAAGTAATAGCCATTGGATAAGAACCTGGATTTTACAAATACTGACTTATCAGGGCTTTGACAAGAGGTTCCATAGATTTTGAGTATTTGTTATTTTGTTCTCTTCTTATGTGAATGTATAATTGGAAGCAAAAATAATAATATATACATTAGGTGCAGTTTTTTTCAAATCAAGTAGAGGTTAATTTATAATATAGGACTAGGAATTTATTCAACTGGTTGTGTTTTGAATTTATTCAGGTTTACTTCGATTCTGATTTTTTTCCTATGCTTCCCATCCATTGCTTCATCTGTCAAGTCAAAGTGTCTTTTTTTTTTTTTTAAGGTTGGCAAATAACGAATTGTATCAAAAATCTCTATTTACCATAACTGTTTTGTATTTTTGGCATCCCTTCTTCACGTAGATTTCTATGGGAAGCCGCTGCCTCCCCTGGCTATGCGACAGAGACCTAACAGTGATGTTCATGACATGATCTCATAAACCAAATCACATGGATGAGCTCTCCTAATAATGGCAAGATGAACTGGAGGGAGGACCATCTTTCTCAGAGAACTAAAACCCTGACCTTTGATAACTGGGCAAGATAACCATAGGAATTTCAGTAAAGATTAATAGCCAAAAATTAATCTGACTGATTACTTATCCATGTTCTTCATGGTTTAAAAAAAAGGAAGCAAAATGACTAGAAGATGGGATGAACATTTGGACCAAGTTAGTACACGTTAGTATTGACTCTGGTTTATACATCCTCACTTATGGGCACATTCCAGAAGGAACGCCTTTCAGAAAAAGAGCCAATGGACTCTGCACACTTTCATTACTATTGAATAGTCTTTATTTCTGTATCTTAAACAGTTTTTTTGTAAGATACTTATGCATGGAAGGGGAACTCTTGGGAATTTATAACCTAAATTTTTAACATTTTATATTTTTCTAAAGCTTTTGTTTAAGAATTTTAATTACTATGATATTGACTGTATACTTTTCTATAGATGCTTTGTTTAAATTATGTCTGGAAAATGGAGTTGATTTACTGGACAAACTTTAACTATACAGATAGGACATATTTATATGGTTTGAGGTATATTTTATAATAGTATAGTTCTTGAAATGTACATCATAATTTGACCTAATTTTAAACTATAGAAACAGGATATATTTATATGGTTTGAGGTATGTTTTGTAATAGTATTGCTCTTGAAGTATACATCCTCATTTGGTCTAATTGTAAAATAATATTTTTAAAAAATAGATTCTCACATCTTAATTCTAACAAATTATATTATTTGAAAGCACTACCCAAGGAGAGAGTTCAACTTTTTTCTGTTGTTTGATTTCTTTGGTGATGATCCTAGTAAATGAATGAGACTTGGAATACCTTCTTGACCAAAATGCTTTGTAAATTCATAAAAATGTTATGTCAGATATTAAAAGCCCCAATAAACACCTCTTTTAAAGTTTAAACCTCTTCAGA